AATGAGAGAACAGTTTACTCGCGCGTGACTTGTATTGACAAATTTGGTCCGTTTAGAAACTTTGCCTTGTGAAAGCGAACCGCACCAAGAATAAAAAGCAACATTGTAATAATTTTAATCCCTGTTTAGGAACAAAGCAATCGATCTACAGGTGTGAAAGCACCCTTAGTGTTTCCACCTGGGTAACTGTTTGCTAATTGAGCTCAAGCTGTGCTGACTTGAGTGAACAGTATGGTTCAGGTGTAAGCACTGAGAAATGTAGGGATTTGTGTGTAGAGTTTTGCAGTAACAGTTCACCAAATCTGACTCGTGTTAAAGCAGGTGAATAGTGTTTATAGTTCAGCAAAATGGGTGTGCTTTTTGAAAAATTATGATTTTTGATTTATGGTTTATGGTTTACCATAAAACCGTTATGGTTTTGAAATTTTAGCTCAAAAGCCTGGTTATAGTGTTTTAGCAATCGAGAAAAACTGTAATAAAAATCAAAAACAATGTTGATCAACCGACAACATTTTTGTAATTCCACGCTTTTGTGCTATTACAATTTGCAGGTTAATCAATAATTATATTATGTAATTATAGCTTTTTTCTTTAAGTTGTATTTTCTTGTATATAAATTAAATGCCTACACCTTTTGCACTGTTCCTCCACATTCTTTTATCTTCTTCTTTTTTTCTAAAGCAAGTGTACTGTGAAATATAATATGGAAAGTAGGTCATCTTTTTAAAGCGTTATTTAATTAGAGCAGCGTCACAGCTTTTGTGCTTGAAGTTCACACCAGGGTCACGTTTCTGTTTTTTGGCTGCTAAATAGATTTTTGTCAGTTTTTAACTATGGATCAAAATTTGACAGTCTTTGTTTATGCTACTTTATGCTTTTATTTATTTATTTATTTTTAATGTTTAATCTAATAAATTATTTTTAAAAATATTTTGTACTTAAATACGTTTGCATATATTTTATAAAAATAATATTTTTGTTGTTACTTTTTATTTTATTTACAATTTTTCATCTAATGAATTCTAAAAATTATTATTTTTTTTTTTCACATTGCTTAAAAGTTCATGTTGCAAATATTGCAGTATAATACTATAGCCAGTCTAGGGTGTCTTCTGTATGCTAGAGTATGTTTTGTTCATTAGTCAGAAAGCTTCATTACATATGTTTGTTTCCTCTGTTTAAGAGGCTGATCTCTCTCTCTGTCTCTCTCTCTCGTTCTTTCTCGTTGTCTCTCTCACTGTGGGGTGTAATTGGATGTTTTAATTGGGTTAGATTCTACAGCTACAGTTCCAAGCTGCGGGTGTAATCTGGGTTTATGCTGGCCTGACATTAAGCAGTTTTGCATGGGCATCCTGGGAGAAGCCGGGCTCCTCCAATACTGTGCCAGTGCTGAGATGCTCTATGGAGATTTATGGGCTGCTCAGAACTGGACATGGAAAGAGGACTAAGAAATACAAGGGGAAAAAAAATACAAACAGTCAGAGAAAGGAAAAGCCAGACAATAGAAACAGGAGGAGAAAAAGCCATTCAGAGCTCCTTCAATTAGCAGATGGTTTATGAGGCAGCAGTAGAGCATGATGGATTGGGCCACTGGAGTGGTTTGGATAGTACAGCATGTTTCACATTAGAGCTCAAGTACTTCTCATCCTGTATTTGGACAGTGTAGCCCGCTATAAAACAATGTGTGGTTGTAGTTGTCAGAAAGTAGCACTTTCATTCTGGTGATGCTTAACAGATGCTTTTTCAGTTGCCATTATTTTAATATTTTTATGTGTCAGCCCATTCTAGAAAAAGTTTATTTTATTAATTTAAATTTGAAAATGCACATTTTTATTTTATTACAATAAATGTATTTCATACTTTAAAACAAGTACTGTAGTCAACCTACAGTTTTGCTGTTGCAATTGGTAATATTATTTTCACGCCAAACTATTCTAGATATATCTAGTTTTTTTTTTTCATAGATTTTTTGTGAAAGCGTATTTTTATTTTTTTTATTTACATAAAAATAATAAATGTATTTTTTTATTTTTTATTTTATACTTAAGCATGTCAGCACACACAGAAGAGGAGACTCACTGAAACGGGATCAAGGGATTTATTAAAAATAGGTGACAAGGAAGTATGACGGGTAGCTCAACTTAGAAACAGTTTGTGTGCTTGTTTCTTGCAGGAAGATGTGGGTAGCGGTCCACAAATGAAGAAGTCCAATGTGGGAGAAAGGTAAGCAGTCAGGCAAGCAATGCTTGTAATCATTTGTTGAGACCTGACAATGAATGACTGAAGTGCAGATTTATAAGAGCTAGTTCTAATGGACGAAATAGGTGCAGATGATCAGTAATCCGGTGATTGAGATCGGGTAGGTGTGGTGATGGGATCTGGTGCTGAGGAGTTGACCGATTCTGTGACGGTACCCTCTCCTCCACAGGCGGCTCTCGAAGACCAAGGTGGACAGCGACGGGGACGACCTCTTCCTCTGGGTGCAGGGTGATCTGGGTGGTTGGTATAGATCTCGGTGAGTAAAGACAGGTCCAAGATATCGTACCGAGGGACCCAGGAACGTTCTTCTGGTCCGTACACCTCCCAGTCCACTAGATATTCCAATTGACCACCTTGTCTCCGGAAGTCCACAGTGGTGTTGACCTTGTTGATGGATCCTTCGTCAGACTTGATGGGAGGAGGAAGCACGTCTGAGACACCAGATCCTGTGAGAGAAGGAACCAGAGGGTGAGTATACGGGTTTATTAATGAAACATGGAAGGTAGGTGAAATGCGGTACTGTGCAGGTAAGTTAAGTCTAAAGGTGACTTCTGAAGGCTCTCCTGACAAGGGAAACGGGGGCAGTTGGAAACCGAGTACACACTGGAGAGGTGTTAGATCTGTGGTGGACTGGCGTAAAAAAATTCTGTGTGTACTCGGCCCAAGAAAGAAATCGGTTCCAGCTGTGTTGATGGCTGTGACAGTATGACCTCAGGTAACGGGCGATCTCCTGGATCTTACGCTCGGTTTGACTGTTGGTTTGTGGATGGTATCCTGATGAGAGGCTGACCGAGACTTCCAAACCCTTCCAAGGATTTCCAAACCCAAGAGATGAATTGTGGCCCCTGATCTGATACGATGTCCTCTGGGATACCAAAGTTGCGGAAAAAGTGCTGGAACAAGGCCTTTGCCATTTCAGTGGCACAGTGACAGCAGGCCTTGGAGAATCTGTCCACAGTGATGAGAATGCAGGTGTGATTATCAGATGGGGGCAGATCGGTTATGAAATCAATTCGATATGTGACCATGGTCGCCTGGGAATTGGGAGTTTTTCCACTTTTCCACTTTTCCTTGAGTCAGATGATGGGGAGTCTTCGAGATGGCACAGGTGGGACAGCCTCTCACAAACTGAGCAACTTCCTGGATGATTCCAGGCCACCAATATCACTGACGGAGGAGCGAGCGGGTCTGTTGGCTGCCTGGGTGTCCAGAACACAGAGAGGATTGCATGGAGTCCATGAGCGTTATTCGCAAGATGGATGGTACGTAGGATCTTCCCTCAGGACCTCCTGGCGGAGCAGGTTCGGTTCGACGGGCCTCAATTATTTGGTCGTCCAGGGACCACTGAATGAGACCTACAATTAAGGCTGGAGGGAGTATGGCTTCTGGAGGGGTTGGATTGACTTCTGGAGAGTGTAATTGGTATAGGGTACAGCTTTGAGGTTCTTCTCACCAGGTCTATAAGTGACTTTGAAATTGTCTTGCCTTGGATTGAGGTGATGAGATTCATGGAGACATTCTAGATTTCGATGATGACTTTGAATGGATATTTAGCTCCCTCCAGCCAGTGTCTCCACTCCTCATGGGCCAACTTTATAGCCAACAGTTCCCAGTTGCCGATGTCATAATTCTGCTCCGCCGGGGACAGTTTCAGGTTTCGGGGTGGCACCACTCTCCATATTCAATTTAGCATTCTTGTCTTCTGTCAGCACACACAGAAGAGGAGACTCACTTAAACGTTCAAGGGATTTATTAAAGATAGGTTACAGGTAAGTATGACAGGTAACTTAACTTCAATTCGTGTACTTGTTACTTGCAGGAAGATGCAGGTAGCGGTCCACAGATGAAGAAGGCTGAAGATACAACAGTCCAACACGGGAGAAAGGTAAGCAGTCAGGCAGGCAATGCTTGTAATCATTGACGAGACTAGACAGAGAATGACTGTGAATGTGGGTTAATAAGGGCTAGTTCTAATGGACGAAAGAGGTGCAGATGATCAGTAATCCAGTGATTGAGATCAGGTAGGTGTGGCGATGGGATCTTGTGCTGAGGTGTTGATAGATTCTGTGACAAGCAACTATAGAGTCAGTTTTTCTGTTGCAATTGTTAATATTGTTTTTTACAAATCGGCCCATTCTACAAATATTTTATTTTGTTTTATTTATGTACATTTATAATACATTATTTTTTTTAAATATATTTTTTACTTTTTATATGTATGTCTGTGTGTGTAATGTCTATAGCCAGTATACTTTAGTTTTTAAGGTGCTACTATTATTTTTGCATGTCGGCCTATTCTAGGACATTGACTTTAGTTAATCTGACACTTGAGCAGAATAGCAAGATTTTTCTATATATATAAGATAGTTGAACAGATTTCATGAATGCTTTTATCTGTACTGTGAATTTCTTTAGAGCTAATGGAGATTTTCTGCTTCAAATGTTTTAAAATCAATCTTCAGGGTCTTTATGACAATAACCTGCACTATTAGTTTGTTTGACATTCTAAAAGAGTTTATTTTTTGAAGACTGAATATGTTAATGTTGTCCTTTTTTTTTAGTCCTCTGTCCCCTTTATCTCTGCTGAGGATGACCTTTGGTTAGTTCTCACCCTTTCATAAAACATAGAGCTAAAGAGAAATAACATCGTTTTTATACCGTCTCGGCCAATTAAGTGGTAGTTGGTGGGCAGCCAGATATTTCACTCTAGTCTGACAAATTGAAAGAAAAAAGGAAACCTGAAAGGAAACATCCAAACTGTAGAATTAATTTTCAGACTGTTTAGTACACAGGCTTCATTCAAAGTCACAGGACCTGATATACATAAATTGTCATCGGCTCTGCATCTTTCTGTTTAGCTTGAGTGACAGTGGGCCTAATCATATATAATGGAAATGAAGTCTAGGAAGCTTGTTTGCGGGTCACAGGAAAAGGTTTCTTGTTATCAGCGTGCAGAATCAGCATGCTAAATGCTAGCGGACAAGCTGTTTCCAAGCATTGTGGCAATAACAAGAGGCTCCACGCAGCCAGAATGAAATCGGAGCCTCTATGCGACACCAGGCCTGTAATTTGTAAGCTCCTTTTCACCTCAGTTAATTAAAAGCCATACAACAGAGAATGCCTGCACTTTACCGTAAAGCAGGTTGCTGGAATTAGATGAATAAGAGATGAGGGTTGACATACAGCCTCTTCAATTTCACACAACACAAATAGCTTTGGTTTAGCTGTAATTATCTGCGGATGTGTCCATTAAGGTTGGGGATGAAGTTTTAATCTGATGTTATTATGCAGAAAGGATGAAATCATAATGCCTTGGCTGCTCAGGGTCTCAGTGCAGTGTCTTGAAAAGTCTTTGAGGTGCCTTGAGTCCCGTAGGTGTTTATCTTTGAAAGGAACTCAGGTGTGTGCTCAAAGCAAGGTTCATTAGTGTAATAAGTTTGTGTAGCACAAAATAAGTTACACAGATTTGATTGTGACCTCTTCGTATTTAAAGGTGTGTAGAATCAATATGGACGGCCGAGATCAGCTTTCATTTTCATTAAGGATCACTTTTGGAGGCTATGGCTGATCGGCAGGGGAAATGACAGAATGCAAACTTCTTTTGAAAGACAAGAGGGCCGATTTAATTACTGTTCAGATACTTTGTAGACATCTTAACTTCAATCGCCGTAATGGATTGTGTGTATGTCTTTCAGAGCTATCACACTGGTAAATTACTGGTTAAAGATCAGGAATGGTAATCCAATGTTTGTTGGTCCAAACCATAAATGTCAGTTTGTGAACTGGAAATTATAAAGATTGAGTTTCTGAGAAAGTTATGTATTTCAAAGTCACTGTCGACGAACTGTTGTATTAAAAGTCTCTTTTTAATAACTAATTTAGTAGTTTCACTTAGCCAGATTAAAAGTCTAATCTATCCTTCCTTCCTTCCTGGTGAACTTTGGCAAATTCAGTGGTTGGTTCTTCGAAATTGCATTTGGTTTCAGTGTGGTACTTTGCAAACATGACTTTGTTTCCTGGGGGGCTGGATCATACCAACTTTTTCAACAATCTCAAAGTTTTCATTCAGGCTTACTACCCTAAAAATTACTAAAATTGGTTAGTGTTATTTAAAAGGGATATTATTTTACCAAGTAATTGTGTGTGTGTTATCCCAGATAGCACACATATATATCTGCAATATGTGTGTTAAAGCTGGAAAGCATCTGCTGTGTACAAACATCTGATAGACGTCTCTAAGATGTCAGTTTTACATACGTTCTAAATCATAAACATCTTAAAGACATTTTCTAAACGTCTATTTGACATCTAATAGGAAACATCCTACAGACGTATTGCAAATGAGCAAACTCTAAAAAATATGTATTGCAGATGTAAATGCAGACGTCAAATAGACCTCTCCATGATGTACATGTGCTATCAGGGTATGCATTTCTGAGAAAGTTATGTATTTCAAAGTCACTGTAATACGGAATATGGTCATGCGATGGCGCCGCAGACGGCAGCCTCAGTGTTTGGCTCTCCAGTGTTTGTACTGTTTTTGTTAGTTTTTCCTGTTTTTTGTTTCTCAAACACGATCAGTTTTACCAGGGATGAGCTGCTTAACATTCGGCAGAACACACCACACAATCTTCTACCGGATTTCGTTTATTCGGACGTTTTGCTGAACGTTGTAGTCGGCGGAGCTGCTGCGCTGTTCAAGCGCTTCAGGACGCGCAGACAGGGGAAGAGAGCCGGCGTGCTTGTGAAGCTCAGGAAGCGCGGATTCAGAACGGCGCTCCCTAGCATCCATCAGGCGAACCTCCGCTCTCTACCCAACAAAACGGATGAACTTCTTCTGCTCTCCCGGACAAATAAGGATTTTTCACACTCTGCTGCTCTGTGTTTCACGGAAACCTGGCTGAATGACGCCATTCCGGACAGCGCGCTACAACTGCCTGGCTTTCAGCTGTTTAGAGCAGACTGTGACGCAGAATCAACGGGGAAATCGCGCGGCAGCGGGACATATTTTTACATCAACGAAAGGTGGTGTACAGATGTTACAGCGTTAAAGAAGATGTGCTGTTCTGATCTAGAAGCGCTTTTCATTAACTGTAAGCCGTTCTATTCGCCGCGGGAGTTTCACTCGTTCATTCTCGTGAGTATTTACATTCCTCCGCAAGCACACGTGAGCTCAGCTTTACAG